AGAAATAACGTTGAGATGGATTTGGTGAATCATGTCTGTAATTCCTACTACTGGAGAGGCTGAGGCTGGTGCATTGCTTGAGTCTGGGAGTTCTGAAATACAACAGGGCTAAAGCCAATCAGGTGTTGTGCTAGGGCAGTACTGGTGCCAGATGATGGTAGCAATATGGCAAGCCCCTGAGAGCAGGGCTCCACTAGGCCAGGGCCTTCTAAACTTTTCCCACTCATGCTCCCTTTTCATGTTTCAGCAGCGTTCATTGGCGTGTCGTGGCATGGTATGTGTTCAGAATCAAGGCTACAGTGAAGTCACTCAATGCAATATGTGCAAGTGCTGCCAGAAATACCTTGGATTCATTACACATTTGATTTTTAATTAATTTTTGGTTATTTGGTGTTCAAAAACCTTTTACCATTACTAAATTTTTTTGTGACACCATATGGGGTGGCAACCCACAGTTTAAGAAGTGCTGCACTAGGCTACCTAAGGAGTGGTGAAAAAAGTGGTCCAGCTTGGAAACAGCAGGTCAGAGCTTTTGTGCTAATCAGTAGTGGGATTGGGTCAATGAGTGGTTCCTGCATTTCTAGCCTGGGGGAGGGAAGGAAGGAAGGAAGGAAGGAAGGAAGGAAGGAAGGAAGGAAGGAAGGAAGGAAGAGAGGGAAGACATTGATAAGTTGGAAACTATTTAGAGGAGGGAAACCAGAATGATGTAGGATTGGTACAACAGTCCATGGCTGAAGTTCCATTGGGGCATGGGGGGTGGGGGTAGGATGTGAAGGGCTCTTATGTGTAAAAAGGATTAGACTTGTTCTGTTTGGTTCCAAAGGGCAGAACCAGGAGTAATTCGTAGAGGTTACAAAGAAGCCAATTTAGGCTTAATGTCAGGGGGAAAAAAAAAACAAACTTCCTTACTCTTAAAGATATCCAAGAATGGAATGACTGCTTCTAGAGGTAGTGGGTTCCCTGTCACTAGAAGTCTTTAAACAAAGATTGGATGACCACTTGTTAGGTGTATTGCTGTGGTGGTACTTATTTGGGTACAAGTTGGACTAAATAGTCTCTGTGGTCCCTTCCAACTAAAAGAACTATGATCCTACTAAGGATCAAGCTGAGCTTTCTATCTGTGCCCTTGATCTCATTCTTCCCTGTTTCCTCTAGGACCTTACTGCAGCAACATCATTTTCTCCCTTGTCATTTTTTCCCCATTTACTCACAGATATTCTCAGGTCACTCCAATTCACAACAAAAGGAAACTTTGCTTTTGTCTTTTTAAATCTCATCTAGCTAGGTGATGCAGTGGAGAGAGTGTAGGGCCTAGTCAGGAAGACTCTTCTTCCTGAGTTCAAATCTGGCCTCAGTTGCTTACTAACTGTATGACCCTGGACAAGTCACTTAACCCTGTTTGCCTAGGCCCTCATTTGTAGAATGAGCTGGAAAAGGAAATGGCAAACCACTCTAGTATCTCCGCCAAGAAAATCCTAAATAGGGTCATAGAGTCAAAAACAATTGAACAACAACAAATTCTTCATTTTTCTTCTACTAAACTTCTTGAAAAGGGTGTCTAAACTTGACACCTTCATTTCCTCACTACCCACTCTCTCCTTACCTTTTTTTTTTTAAGAGACAATGGGGGTTAAGTGACTTGCCCAGCATCACATAGCTAGCTAAGTGTCTAAGGCTGGATTTGAACTCAGGTCCTCCTGACTCTAGGGCCGGTGCTCTATCCACTGCGCAACCTAGCTGCCCCTCTAATGGTCTTTTAAATAAAACTCTTCATCCTCTCTGTGGCTTTCTGACATTGTTGACTGCTTCCTAGTCTAGGATATTCTCTTCTCCCTTGGCTTCAGGGAGACATCATTCTCTTCTGGTTCTCCTCTTATCTTTCTAACCAGTCCTGTTTCTTTCACTGGTTCCTCCCTTCCCAACCCCTTAATGTAGGTTCCCAATGGCTGTATTCATTCTCTCATTCATTCTCTCTCTCTCTCTCTCTCTCTCTCTCTCTCTCTCTCAGCAATGGGGGCTAAGTGACTTGCTCAGGGTCACACAAGATAGTAGGTATCTGAGGCTGGATTTGAACTCAGGTGCTCTTGACTCCAGGGCTGGTGCGGCACCTACCTGCTCCCCTAGTCTCTTGCTATATTCTCTCCTTCAGCAATCTCATTTACTTCCTTGCTTCAGCTACCATTTCTATGCAGATGACTCCCAAACCTCTATCCCTCCTACTTCTGCTCTCTCTTTTGAGCTCTAGACCAACAACTCCAACTGGATATTTTTATTTGCATATCTCACCAACACATCCAATTCAACACATCCAAAACTGCTTTCATTATCTTTCCCCTCAAACTTCTCTTTCTGACTTCACTATTTCTGTCTGTGACAACAGTATTCACTAGCTTCCAATGTTCGTAACTTCAGGTGTATCTTAAATTCTTTCTTCTCCCTCACCATCCATATCCAATCAATTAAATTTGCTTAAAACATGAAGTTTAATTACTAAATATACATATATTTGTATATAAATTATATAAATATATATATAATTTAAATACACTAAATATAAATCCTACTATATGTCAGGCACTGTGCTAGTTGATGAGGACACAAAAACCAAAACCGGAAACAATCTCTACCCTCAAGGACCCTAAATTCTATTGGGGGAAACAGTAACAATAACAAAACAACAGAGAACAGGTCAAGATTTGCAAAGGATTTATAAACATTATTTCATTTGATCACTACACAAATAAGTACAAAATACATACAAAGTAATTCAGTGAAGAGGAGAGTTCTAACAACTGAGGGGAATTATAGCATCACAGACTGAAAGCTGAAGGGATCCATAGCAATCATCTAGGCCAAACTCATTATTTTACAGATAAGGAAACTGAGACTCAAGAAGGATTAAGTGACTTGCTCACATTCCCCCAAATAGTAAGTAGCAGAGGAGGATTACAAAAGCTCTTTTGTAGATGACACTTGATCCTTCCTTGAAGGAAGGTAGGGATTCCAATCAGTGGAAGTGAAGAAGAACATTTTAGGCATAGGGCACAGCCTGTTCAAAAAGCAGGAGGCAGGAAATAGAATGTCACATATGGGGAATAGTACCTAGACCAATTTGCTTAGAACATGAAGTATATGAGAGGGAATAATAGAAGTTGTTTAGAACTTCAGCAAGAGTTGAATTCTAAAGGGCTTTAAATGCCAGACAGAAACATTAAATAATCTTAAATGATCTTTCTTGTGCATGTTATCTGGTCATGCCACTTAAGTGCTCAAAAATTTTCTGGGGCTCTCTTTTGCCTACAGAGTAAAGGTTAAACTCCTCTGCAAGGCATCAAGGCACTCAACAATCTGATAGCTCCCTATTTTCCCAGTTCTACTTCAAACTAATCCTTTCTCTATATTCTATGCTTCAAACTGGACTATGCTCTTTCCCCTCTCCCACCAATCAAAACATCTTGACCCATCCAACCACATACCTTTGCCCATGCTTTTCCCTATGTCTAGAATATCCCTCCTTTCCTTCTTCACCTGCTGAATTCTTATTCTTCCTTTAAAATCTAATATGAATGGCTCCTCTAAGAAGCTTTCTCAAAATTCCGATGAGGATTTTCTCCCTCAAACTTCACATGACACCTTCTTTTGCATTTCCACCTTAAATTGTGTATTATGGGTAGCTGTATACACATATGGACTAGCGGGGTGTAGACTACATGCCTCTTCTCTGAGTGCCAGCCTGAATACATCAGGAGAGGCTCATCACCAGTTGGGCTGCAGGGTGATGAATTTTTTGGCCACAGTAACTTTCCTCTATTTCTTTGAGGGCCTGCAACCTGGATCAATAAAGGAAATGCCCAAAAAATAGAAACACAAATCTTTATAGAGTATTGATGTTCATTGTGTATCAATTCCCCTCTCTATTAGATTGAGTGCTCCATAGGGTCAGAGCTAGTTTCTTTTTTTAAAGCCTGTCACTCCCCCCAGGTGCCTAGCACAACAGTTTGCATACAAGAGTGACTTAATAATCTTTTTGGCCATTTGTTACATTAAATCAGAGAATTTTGTGAGAACTTAACAGTTGTACATATACCACTTATTAGAAGTCGTTTGCACAGTTGTGATGTTAGCTGGACTAGGATCATGCCCATATGATAGGCAAAGAAACTGGGATCCACTCCCTACTTTCAAGCCAGAAAGGGCAACTCATCTCTCTCCTCCCTGGCCCCTCCACCTGTCCACTATGGTCTCTGATAACCGCATCACATTTCCAGATGTGCATTCCTACCACCACCCAATTCTTCTCCCTCTTTCCTAAGAGATATATTCGATTCCTCTTCAAACACCCACCGCTCAAGGATTAGGCTCGGAGTTCATAAAGCCATCCCTACTTCCCCACCTCTCTACCCATTCCCTCCCGCTGCCCTAGCGCCCAATTACTCCCCACCTCCCCCAACACCGGGAGGTCCCGCCCACCCCTTTCTTCGAGGCCCTCATTGGCCCCTCCGGAGAGGGGGGGCGGACCAAAAGGAGAGGGTTCCCCACCAGGATTGGCCGCCAGTGCTAGTCTATCCCACGCTCGCCATGGTGACCACGTTAAGTTCGGTGGGGAGAGCTCCAAATCCCACCCCTGGCCTCCCCCACTTCCCCCCACCCCGGGACCGCTGCATTCCAAACCCTAGTGTTCCCCCCCCATCCCCCTCATCACCCAGGCTAGGGCCAGTGGGGGAGGGATTCGGTCCCCCAGGAGACAGATACACAAACACTCTAGAATGGAACTTTCCCCACCCCTACTCCAGCCCCCCCAAAAAAAAGCTGGAGGAAGAAAGTTAGGTTAGAGGAGTTGCGACTGTCGAGGCTTCTGAACTGGCAGATGCCCACACCACTCTCTCCTCCGCGAAACTCGGTAATTCCGTAGCTGCCCTGGGTCTTAAAGCCTCAGTGCTCGCCTCCACCCCCTACTCGCTCTATGGAAGGGGCGTAGTTTTTCTCCGGGATGGCCCGGTATGAGGACGGCTCCCCATCCCCGCAGCGCCCCGACTCACCTGAGCCACCTCTCTCCCCGGCCAGCCTGGCCTGGCCTGGCCCGGCTCAGCTCAGTTCAGCTCAGCCCCGTGGAACGCAGAGCCGAGAGGGCTTTGGGCAGTCGGCGGCCTGGGCAGCCGAGATTCCTGCAGCAGCGGCGGGAGGAGGGACGAAGGAAGCGGAGTCTCCTCCTCCCGGGGGGAGGGGAGAGGGAGAAGGGCGAAGAGAACCGCGGGGCAGGGACAGGGGCTGGCGCAGCCCGTCTGGGTGTGTGGCTTGCGCCAGACTCAGCTCGGCCAGGTTCGATCGGGCTGGTCCTATCCAGCCTTCTTTGGTCGAGTTTGGGCTTGGTTCCGAGGACCTAGCTTATTAAGGTCCGATTTGTATTGGCCCCTTCTAGGAGAGGCTGCCAGGGGAGCTAGCTAGCTCCCGGTGATCCCAAAGAGGAGCTCGACGGGGGCAGTTCCCTAGCTTTGATTGGGGACTGATTTGATCAGCTTTGTTGTTTAGTCGTGTCCATATCTTGGTGACCCCATGGACCATAGCACGCCAGGCCTTCTATCCCCCACTATTTCCCAAAGTCTGTCCAAGCTCATGTTCGTTTCTTCCAAGACACTATTTATCCATCTTACCCTCTGCTGTCCCCTTGTCCTTTTGCCTTTAATCTTTCCAAACCATCAAGGTCTTTTCCAACGAATCCTGTCTTTTCATTATGTGGCCAAAGTACTTGGGGCTATAAGTGGTGCTATTTACCTGGGGGAAACAAAGTGAAGGTGAACAGGGAAGGACTGGGTCAAAGTACCAATTTAATGGCATAGATAGATATAGATATATAAGGTCAGACAATGAAGCCCCCTACTCACATACACACACACACACACACACACACGGGGAAGAGGAGGGACTTGGGGGACACTGGAGAGCCAGTTTTAGCGCCTATTCTGAAAGCAACAGGTAGTGTGGCATAGTAGATTTAGAGCTGGCCTCAAACCTCTGACCCATTGGCTGTGTGACCCTCAACAAGTCACTTACCCTCCCAGTGCCCTCTAGGCAACTAACTCTCTAAGACTATAAAGTGCAGAGAAGGTACCAACCTGTATTGGTAGAGGGAGTTTCATCACCTGGGAGTTCCCTATAGCAGTGAAAGTTCAGGTTCAGTCCCTATTACAATTTTGTAAACAAGTTTCTTGAGAGCAATATCTGCTCAGAGGAAAACTAGGAAAAAGCCAGAGGTCAGAAATCAAGAGAACTGGTAGGTGAGCTTGGCCCAGCCACAACTAACTAGCTTTTCATTCCTGAGACTCAGTTTCTTCCTCAGTACAATGAGGTAGCAGGATTAGGTGAGTCCCAGAGGTTCCTTATTCTAACATTCAAACACATCATTTATTCTCTCTGAGCCTTTCATCTATAAGAAAAGGAAACTGATCTAGATGGTTTCTAAGATCCCTTGCCAGTCTTAGGTTCTATGAATTCTTGACCTGAAAATGATTCACCAGCCACTGTTGGCACTGATGCTGACCCCAATTAGTTCTCAGAAGTGGCACCATTGTTGCCCTCAAAACATCTTAGAGTTGAAAAAGCTGGTTCTTCAGAGATTCCCTGAAACCTACTTCTAATCTTACCATTCAACTGCATTTGCTATCTGCAAATGGTTTCTTAATTCCTGGATCCAATAATCTTTTCTTTTCTTCTCTTTTTTGGTAAATAGTATTTTATTTTTTTCAATTACATGTAAAGGATAGTTTTCAACATTCATTTTTTATAAGATTTTGAGTTTCGAATCTTTTCTCCCTCTCTCCCTCCCATCCCCCCTTCCCAAGCCAGCAAGCAATCTGATATAGGTTATACATGTGCAATCATGTAAACATATTTCCACATTGTGGTTTCTCTTTCATTCTCTAAGAGGACCATGGCATCAGAATGATGACATGACTTGCAAATGAATTGGATTTAAGTGAGAGAGGGCTATGCAAAATCACCAGCCTCACTTTCTCCTCCAGAGCCATCTGGGTCCAGTGGCTAGATACAGATCAGCGTGGCTGGAGATGGCCCAGGATGCAGTGGGAGACTTTGGCCTTTTTAAACTAAGGTCTTTCCGAGGTCTCACTATGAGTGAGGCAATGCTCATTCAGTGAATAGGCCTGTTTAAGAAGTGAGCCAAGGGATGGCCCTTCTAATTAAAAAACAAACAAACAAACAAACAAACAAAAAAACCAAACTGGGAGGGAAAGACCTCCCCTCCTCAAAGGAGAAGACACTCAGTGGACTCAAGGCATTTTCATTGGCTGTGTCCCATGCCTGGAATACTCTCTCTCCTCATCTCCACCTCCTAGCTTCCCTGACTTCTTTCAAGTCCCAGCTAAAATTCCACCTTGTACAGGAAGTTTTCCCTAGTTCCCTTTAAGGTAAGTTCCTCCCCTTTTGTTGATTATCTCCAATTTATCTTGTTGTCTCCCCCATTAGACCCTGAGCTCCTTGAGAGCAGAGATTATCTTTTGCTTTTCTTTGTATCCCCAGTGCCTAACGAAGTCCCTGGCACCTAGTAGGTGCTTAACAAATGCTTGACTGACTGATTTAAAGTTGTTCACAATCTGGTTCCAATGTACCTTCTCAGGCTTATCACCTATTGTTCTCTTTCACACAGGCTGTGGTCTAACATAACTGTCCTACTTGCTGTTCCTCATACATGACATTGCAATCTCCTATATTTGTGCCTTTGTACAGGCTGTCCCCCCAAGTCTGGAGTGCATCCCCTCCTCATCTCTCTTAACATCTCTAGCTTCCTTCAACATACAGGTTAAGTGCCCCGGTTTGCATGAGCCCTTTTCTAACCCTGTTCTCCCAGCTTCTAGCGTTCCCCTCACCTCTGTCACTGTGCATTTACTTTGTATCTATCTTTATTTACTTTTACAAGTATGTGTTATGTTCTTCCAATTCAGTGTAAATTCCTCTAGGGCACCCATTATTTTGGTTTTTGTCTTTGTATCCCCACTACCTATCACAGGCCAGACACACAGTTGGTGCTTAATAAATGCTTGTTGATTAATTGACTGAAATCTTAATTAAGAGAAAGGAGTGTTCTACCAAATAAGATTCAACTACTGCTTCAACACTTATTGCTAAAAAAAAATTTTAAAAAAACACTTATTGCTGATAATCTTGGTAAAAGGAAATAATCTACCAGCTTGCTTTATAAGAACAATTTAAGATCATAATGGGTTCTTTGGTTGCTGACCTAGAACTTTGGGGTTCTGAATGTCAGTGATCAATCCAATAAGTGTTGTGTGTGCACGCGCGCGTGTGCTTACTATACAAAATGTATGTGGGAGACAAACACAAAATTTGAAAAACATTCCCTGTCAAGGATATTTACATTGTATTATGCTGGTCTATGGGTGAAGATGGAGAACATACAGACAATTGGGTTGAATGTGTACTCTCCCAGGATGTGCTCTAGAAGTTGGTGGTTGAAGTTAACCCTTGATAGAAGTTTGTTTTCTTGCCATTTAGTATTTTCACCTTTAAGAAGAAGCAAAAAAAAAAAAATACAGTATTTTCCAAGTCCTTCTCAGTTGGGCTCCTGTTACTCAAGGTTAAAAATATGTAAATGATCTTAGAATATGGAATATCAGAGCTCAGGGAGCCTTTAAAGATCCTCTAGTCCAACCTCCCTCCCTGCCTTTTAAAAATAAGGATTTATTGAGCACTAACTATGAGGCCCCTTGAAGAAAGGAGTGACATGGCCATGAATTACTCAAACCAGTGTCTGTGCCTGGGCGCTGACTCAAGGAATTACTGACCTTGGTTTTTGGGTGACCAAAGAGAACAAGGGGATTACAGGTGTTCATGAGTTCCAGCTAAATCCTAGGCTGAGCATCAACTCCTCTCGAACCCTGAAAATGGTAGATTCTCTTCTCAATTAGGGGGAAAACACATAGTCAGCAATTCCAAAACCACTGTGAAACTGCAGAAGGGAAGTTCCCACTAAGGAGGTTGATATGTGGGTCACATGGATAAGGATACTGAGGCGGGGAAGATGAAGTGATGCCCTTAAGGTGATAGTCAGAAAGGGCAGAACCCAGACCGTTAACCCAGGCCTCCTAATCCAGGGTTTTTCCATTATCTCCCAGACCTATTTAAAGCAAGGGCCACCAATAATTTTAGCTAATTTATGGGCAGGGGAAGCAACATGTTTTTCTTCATGGATTGTTCCAGACTTCCTAGAAAAGAAATCCTGGAGCGCTGTGGCTTTGTTTGAGGCTGAAATGATGCTGAGCGAGAAATTTCCTGTGTGGCTCACTTTGATACAGGCAAGACCAATATTTCTTATACTAATAGCATTAAGATGAAGTAGTGACTGCTCAGCTTGTTAGAGCTGAATAAGTCACCACGGGGCACTCTAGGCTTGAGCTGCCCGAGCTCACTCACTGAGCAGGTACCAAAGGAACAGACATTGCACTGGGTTGCTGTATTTGATTGTTCTAGGCCAGGAGTGACTCAGACCACAGAGGATCAAAATTGGAATGAAATGAGTCACTTATAGGCCATATAACATTTAACAGAAGGAAGTTTACTCAACAATAATAAAGGAAGGGTATTCAGCAAAGGTATAACATAGATTAAGTTGGGCACAGCTTCCATGTTTCCTTCTCCATTTTTTGCCCCCAACATAGCGATAGGAAGTCTCTCAATTGAAGAAAATAAGCCATTTGTGTACTCTGCCTTAAGCTGGTACATTAAAAATTGGAGCCTTAGCCCCTGAAGTCTCAAAGTTGGTTTCATTGCCTTTTTAAGGGAAAAGTAACCTGTCCTGTATTTTCATTAGGAGTAGATGTTGCTAATACCACACTAATTAAACCACTTGGTGGTGCTCAAAGCTTGACCAATAATACTACCTTATCCCAACTCCTATGTGCTAATGCTAATTTTTTCAGACTTCAACTTTTCCCATTGCCTTCCAGGGCTATCTAAGAGTATGATTTAATCTCATAATAATTCACAATTTATCTTGGCTCGGGTTCTCCCCCCTCTCACTGAGATTTTAATTTCCTCCTCAACTCCATGGAACCTGAAATGATTCACATGCCAATTAAATGAGAAATTGTGCCCAGTGATTTCAGTAGAAAATTCTTTTCTGGAAACAGGACAATCCTCTATCCCAACTCCTACAGGGACTGTATTCACTTCCCAGATGATAGGTAGGTGAAAAACCTCTGCTGTCATTGATGGAGCAGGATTGTCCCTGGACGTTCTCTCTGACGTCTCTGACACCAACCTGACTGTCTTGCTCCCCAGCCCAG